TATATTGATAAATGTCATCAAAAATCTTGTCACATGTTTCATACTTGTTTTTCATATTTTCTTATACAAGCTGTGCATAAATGAATCTGAAATTTATACTATTCACAGGCCAATCAGAAATCAGTTTCAAATCCTAATTAAATGAAAACAACAAAGTGTCAATACACTATTTGCAAAATTTTTTTATTGTTTTAGCTCAGAAGAGAAGTGTTTGATGTTGCTTTACTCCTAAAAAAATAATGTCATTGATTAAATCTAAGCTGATTTGCTTTCATTTCTCCCAAATGTAAATAAAATTTAGATAATGTTTGAAATTCAGTGCTATAGTTGATTGGTTTGTGAATTAAAAAAGCAATTTAAATAGTTTCCCTGTTTTGTCAGTTAATAAGTATATTTCCAAACATCACAATTCTTGTTCCCACAAGTGCTAAAATATTTTGTTATTTTGCAATGAGATTTCATATTCTTTGCATAAATACATAAATACCAAAATGACATTATTCAAAGCTTGCAATTAGTTTTAGCTTAGTTTTATCAACAATAGAACAATAACAAGGATAGGTCATCTCCAAAAAAATTGTATTTAGTAATGAAAAATATTAGTTTTTTTGACTCCCAAAATCATTTAGGAAAAGGAAAATATATTTTAAATAAAAATAAAAGGACATTAAGTTTAAATCTTGGCAAATTGGAAATCCACTCAGTATAAATATCAATTATGTTGTGCTATATTTAGATTTGTGAAAGAAAAACAAATTATAATGATCATTACACTGAGTGATTTGTGTTTTAATGTCTTTCAAACTTTAAAGCGCTTGCTGATAATGCTAATAGTGCAAGTAATTCTTTAATAAACAATGCTTTTAAATGTTTCAGTCTCTGAGAGTTTCTACTGTTTTACATGTAAATGTGTATTTTATCAGTCAAAGACAATTTATTAATCTATTAATATACAAACCATTTTAGTAGGTGTGATGACAGATGTTTGGCCATCACCACCAGAACCGATAGTGGTTGATCCAGTCTTGGTGTCTTTAATGCCTTCACTTTTAGTTTTGTCATCTTTAGAGGAAGAGAGTTTACTCAAATTAATTGATTCAGATTTTATTGAGGAAGTTGCAGAGTTTGGCTTGTCCAGTGAAGCAACTGAACTTTCTATTTTGGGAGCTGCATTTGCTGTACTAGTAGGACAAACAACAGAGGAGGTCATTTTAATAACTGTCACTTTGTTGTCTTTTTCTACAGGGTCAGACTTGGTTGAAGCACCAACAGACTGACTATCTGTTTTAGTGTCCTTTATTTCTTTGTCACCAGAACCCTGAGATTTGATTTTAGATTCAGATTTTGTGAGCTCCACTTGTGTCTTCATCCCAGATAAAGGTTTATCATCTGTCGTCTTTATTACAGACTTTTTTTCTGCAACTTTTACCAAAGATTTGCCGTTATCCTCAGTAACTTTGACCTCTATAGGTTTTATTACAGTTGATTTTGTTTGGTCAGGATTGTTTTTTTCTTCTAAAGATTGATTTGTCTTTTCTTGAAGAGAGCTAACAGATGGCTTTACTTTTTCTGGAGAAGAAAGATTGCTTTTTGATTCTGGAGAGCTTGTCTTTGTGTTCTGTTCTGCTGAGTTGCTACAAGACATTTTAGAGCTTTCAGCAGAACTTTTGAAAGATTGTTTAGGCTTCTCTTCTTTTGTACCTGTAGAAAGCTTGGTTTTTGAATCTGTAGAGCTGCTAACAGCTGATTCTTGCTGCTCTCCAATATATGATGTCTTTGACTTCACTTCCTCACAAGTGGCTGTAGGTTTGGTATTTTGTTCTTTACAGCTGGTAACTGTTGATTTAGCTTTCTGCTCCATTAAGTTTATCAATACGGACTTTGGTTTCTCTTCTATTGAGCTGCTAAAATGTTCAGGAGTTTCTTCTGTTGAGCTGAAAGAAGAGAGCTTTCTTTTCTCTTCCTCCACCTCAGATACCTGTGTAGTTTTAGAAGAGATTGATTTAAGCTTCTCATCCACAAAATCATTTTCTTTGGATCCTTTCTTTGATTTCTCTTCTGCAGTTGGTTTGTGGATGTCTTCAGATTGATCGTCTTGTTTGAGATTCTTTTCAAAAGTATTGGATTTTGAATCTTTATGTTTGCTTTCAACTCTGTCAGCCTTCTCATCTGAGATCTTGTCTTCTAGTGATTTACTCTTTTCTTCAAATGGAGACTTTTCTATTAATTTCAGATTTTCTTCTACAGGTCCTTCTTTTCCTTCAGTTAACCTCAATTTTTGTTTTTCTAGTTTAGTTTTATCAACTGATTTTTCTTTCAGACATTTTGTAGAAGACTGCTCAACATTTTTGTTCATTTCAGATATGTTTTTCTCTTTTGTGTCATCAGTTTTTTCATCCAAACATCTAGCCTTCTCCACAGTCTTTTCTTTGCCTGAACTGGCTTTCGCAGTAGACTCTTTATCCTCCTTTTTAGAACTGGTTTTCTCCATTAGGTCATCTTTCTTTTTGGAACTATCCTTCTCAGTTGGCGCATCCTCCTTTTTGGGACGGGCCTTATCAGTTGGCTCATCCTCCTTTTTGGGACGGGCCTTATCAGTTGGCTCATCCTCCTTTTTGGGACCTTATCAGTTGGGGGACCCTTATCAGTTGGCTCATCCTCCTTTTTGGGACGGGCCTTATCAGTTGGCTCATCCTCCTTTTTGGGACGGGCCTTATCAGTTGGCTCATCCTCCTTTTTGGGACGGGCCTTATCAGTTGGCTCATCCTCCTTTTTTGGGCCAGGCCTTATCATCCCTCCTTTTTTTGGGACGGGCCTTATCAGTTGGCGCATCCTCCTTTTTGGGACGGGCCTTATCAGTTGGCGCATCCTCCTTTTTGGGACGGGCCTTATCAGTTGGCGCATCCTCCTTTTTGGGACAGGCCTTATCAGTTGGCGCATCCTCCTTTTTGGGACGGGCCTTATCAGTTGGCTCATTCTCTTTTTTGGAACGGGTCTTATCAGTTGGCGCTTCCTTCTCTATGGAACTGGCTTTCTCAGTCGGCTCATCCTCCTTTTTGGAAGGGGCCTTCTCATCCTCTTTTTTGGAAGGGGTTTTCTCAGTTGGCTCATCCACCTTTTTGGATCGAGCCTGCTCAGTTGGTTCATCCTCTTCATTTTTGGAGCTGGCTGTCTCATTAGCCTCCTCCTTCTCCTTCTCATTTTTGAAGCTGACTTTCTCAGTAGGCTCTTCCTCCTTTTTGGAACTAGCTTTCTGAGTTGGCTTTTCCTCCTTTTTGGAACTGGCTTTCTCAGTAGGCTCCTCTTCCTTTTTGGAACTGGCTTTCTCAGTAGGCACCTCTTCCTTTTTGGAGCCGGCTTTCTCAGTAGGCTCCTCCTCCTTTTTGGAGCCGGCTTTCTCAGTAGGCTCCTCCTCCTTTTTGGAGCCGGCTTTCTCAGTAGGCTTCTCCTCCTTTTTGGAGCCGGCTTTCTCAGTAGGCTTCTCCTCCTTTTTAGAGCCGGCTTTCTCAGTAGGCTTCTCCTCCTTTTTAGAGCCGGCTTTCTCAGTAGGCTTCTCCTCCTTTTTAGAGCCGGCTTTCTCAGTAGGCTTCTCCTCCTTTTTAGAGCCGGCTTCCTCAGTAGGCTTCTCCTCCTTTTTGGAGCTGGCTTTCTCAGTAGGCTTCTCCTCCTTTTTGAAGCTGGCTTTCTCAGTAGGCTTCTCCTCCTTTTTGAAGCTGGCTTTCTCAGTAGGCTTCTCCTCCTTTTTGGAGCTGGCTTTCTCAGTAGGCTCCTCCTCTTTTTTGGTTCTGGCTTTCTCAGTAGGCTTCTCCTCCTTTTTGGAACTGGCTTTCTCAGTAGGCTCCTCTTCCTTTTTGGAACTGGCTTTCTGAGTTGGCTTTTCCTCCTTTTTGGAACTGGCTTTCTCAGTAGGCCTCTCATCCTTTTTGGAACTGGCTTTCTGAGTTGGCTTTTCCTCCTTTTTGGAACTGGCTTTCCGAGTTGGCCTTTCCTCCTTTTTGGAACTGGCTTTCCGAGTTGGCCTTTCCTCCTTTTTGAAAGTGGCTTTCTTAGTATGCTCCTCCTCCTCCTCCTCCTCCTCTTGGGAACCAGCTTTCTCAGCAAGGTTCTCTTCCTCTTTTTTGCAGCTGGCTTTCTCAGTATCTTCCTCTTCCTTTTTAGAACTGGCCTTTTCAGTAGCTGCCGCCTCCTCCTCCTCCTCTACTGAACTGGTCTGACCTGCAGGCTGCTTCTCCCCTTCAAAGTTGGCCTTTGGTGCAGACTCCTCTTCGCCACCTGAACTGGCTTTTTCTGCAGACTCCTCCTCTCCACTGGAACTAGACTTCCCAGTAGGCTTCTTAAATGGCTTGACCTTCTCTGTAGTCTTCTCCCTACCTAAATTATCATTCTTTGCAGGCTCTTCCAAACCTGACTTGGCTTTCTTTGCAAATTTTTCACTTGACCCGATCTTTCCCATAGATACATCTTCAAACTTTGTTTGGTTTTCTTCTATAGATTCAGTCTTCTTTTCTAAGGATTTTAATGTCTTTACATGTTTAGATTCACTTTCTTTATTAACCTGTTCCTCAAAAGGTTTAACTTTCTGCTCTTCTTCTTTAACCTCCTGATTAGTTACATCTCCCCTCTGTTCAATAGTTTTAGGCTTCTCTTCAACTGATTTGGTACTCAATGTGGAAAGTGGCTTATCTTTTTCTGTAGGCGACATAGTCAAACTATCTTTCTTTTGAGCAATGTCAAAAGATATTTCAGATGCTTTTATCTCATCCTTTTGGTTAACCTTTTCTTCTGTTGTTGATACAACAACAGATTCTTTGCTTTTCATTGACAAGCCTTTATCTTCTGACTGGTCGACATCTAACTTCATTTTTTTCTCACTTGGAGAAGCTGAAGCATCTGTTTCCTCTAAGTCTTTGTTAGCAATTTCAGATGTTTTCTTACTTGCATTAGGAGAACTTGGGCTGGCTTCATTCCTTTGCAGTTTTTGGTCTGATTCTTCTTCCCTTTCAGAGTGAAGTCTTTTCATAACTGGCTTTTCAGAATCAAGCAACATCTTGCAACTTTCAGGTTGTGAAAGTACACTAGTAATTTCTTCTTCACTCTTTGGTTTATCACTTACTTCATGCAACTGCACATTTTCATTGTCTTGCATCTTTTTCTTTTGTTCAGTCTCTTTTATAACTTTGTCAGCTTCCTTAATACCTTGAAATGCATTCAATTCTTCTTCTTCTTCATTATTTATCTGTTTCTCCTCATCTTCCTCTTCCTCCTCTTCTTTGTTTGTAGAGATCTGATCTTCAGCCAATGAAGATGATCGGCTAAATTCTTCATCAGACAGGAGATCCTGCAGAAAGATAAAATGGGTATTATGGGAATTTCAGGATACTTGTATGCCCATGGGTAAAAGGTTTCTACTATTTTCACAGCATTAGCTATCAATACTCACATGTCATAATTTGATTCTATATAAATTTACTGATAGAAGATTAAATAATATTCTTCATCTTTTTTGTAGTATCATTCTCATCAAATATTTTAAAGTCCAAATCAGCCAGAACAGCAACTGCCAGAAACATTTGAGGCAGCATAAAATATTGTCAAACATTTACAATTTGTGTAGTCTTTCATTGGCAATCAAGAGGACAATTGCTACTTGGTTTGACTAATACAAGTAGCTACAAATGTTGGTTATTGCAAAGCATTTTTTTAAAATATTTTCATTAGGGAAATTATGAAAACTTTCTTTACAGTGTTTAAAAATCAGTTTTATTGAAATGAAGTAGTACAATATCATGAAAACCAACTGATTTTCAGTCATAATTATCTTGGGTTATTAAAGTTTGTTCTTTTTTGGTTAAGAAAAAGAAACAGATGGCAAGAGTTAAGATCTACCAGTTCATTTGATTCAATACCGATCAAAGATCCCTTTGATGACAGCCCATTTAAACTTCAATGATTAAAAGCCTTATGATGTTCATCCCATAGTTCACTATTTTTCATAATTATTCAAATCTCTTAGTAACCCTAACCTCCTAACAGGCTTACGGGCATATCAGTTTGAAACACTGATTCTTGTATGATTTCCAAAGTTAAGCAACATTGAGCATGGTCAATATCTAGATGGGTGACAGCATGGGAATATTATGCACTGTAAGCTTGAATGGGCTGGTGGTATAATGGATGACTTAGAATTGGAAATTGCAGAGCAGAGTTCCAATTCCAGTCAAGTTCATTATATTTACTTATGTGCAAATAACCTTGGGAAGGTATGAATACCCCACCCACCCAACTATGAGTAAATTAGTAGAACTTGTATTAGTAAATCATTATTATCTGCAAAAAATTCTTACAATCTAAAAATATTTACTGGGTTTAAATAACCTGCAAATGGTTAATAAGCTGTAAAAAACACTCAATCAACCTAACTTCCTGGCACACCAATTCTTGTCCAACAAAAAGAACAATTCCTATGAAAAGTTAGGATCATTAAAGTAATATGTCGATTTTTTAAAAAACAGTATTGTAAAGAAGTTTAAATATACAATTTTAAGATAATTCACTTCAATGAATTTGGGCAACTTAAATATCATGTTCTGTTTAGATTCAATTTAGAAAAATTATTTTCTTTCACTGAAACATTCAATAATTGGCAACAAACAACTTACTCAACATCTTACAATCATGTTTTTTTTTTATATATACTTGTAAGCTTTTTAGTAGTAAAAAGATAAAATGAATAAAAGTAAATTTTAATGATTGTTAAAAAAAAAAAAGAAGAAAAGAAAAGAAAAAAAGAAACTCACTCTGGTGTCTTTTTTATCAGTTGAAACAGAATTGATACTGTCTTCTACCGAGTCAGACATAGCTGGAGATTCATTGGCCCTCGAGTCTTCCAGATCTTCATCTTCTACCAGAGTTGATTCAATTTCCCTCGACTCAACAGGCTCAAATGGCTCCTTTAAAAGTTTTAGCACTTCCACTTTGTGACCACGCAGCTTATTCTTTAAACGGTGAATACCTTCCAGCTGGAAACGAAGATCTCTTGGATTTGGAGGTGTCTGCAGCAAGAAAATGTTCAAAATCCATACAGAAAGGTCAGAGTAGGTGTATTGTGGATTTCGTTTTTTGTAGTAGAGCAATTCCAATGCAACCGCTTTGGTTATTTGGTTTGCAGAAACAGTAGATTCCTTATGTCCCTCCAGGACATCTGTGTCGATGGACAGCTTTTCACACAAGGGGCCAATGTTGGAGTGATGCTCCAAGAAAGTCTCCTTTATCCAGTCGACACCACCTCGCTTCAACCTGCGGCGGATACGGGACAGGAAGTTGGAGATGTTCTCGGGTGGATCCAAGAAGAGATTCTCAAATATCTTAGGCAGGATCTTGACAAATGTGTAGTCTTCACATGAATAAATGTAGTCTGTAATTGCAAACCAGAAACCATACGAGACACAGTTCTTCTTGAGCTTGTTCCATTCTTCAGGAGTCCACTCTTCTGCAAAAGAAAAAGTTTAACAATTCATAGATTCTATTTTACTGCAGTCATAAGAAAATCAGTCCCTACTGTTACATTTCATATAAAATCCTGTATCACTACTGATGGAAATCCTGTATACTTTCAGAAATCTGTATCTCCCTCTAGCTTAAATCATCTACAGTCTTTCACTGTCAAGGCATATGAATATAAGTAGGGAGAATGAGTATCTTTTGCTAAGGGCAATATCATTCAGCATCAAGTAATTTTGCATATGGGCAAAATTTGTAACACTAAATCAATAAAGGATTTATTTGTCAGCAACATGTTTTTATGCTGACAAACTTTAGGAATAAAAATGATGGAAGCCAACAGAAATGAAGAAAACATATTGGGTAAAATTTTGTCAGTCACAAATACTGATGTGTCAATTTTCTAAACTAACACTGAAGAGATTCCTTCATGCAATGGGATTTGTATGTTTAGTGTTTTAAAGAAAATTTAACAGAAAAATAAAGGTATTTTCTTTCTTGAATTGAGAATAACTAAAGGCAAGAGAAACTAGAGAGCATAAATCAAATAGTTGGTCATTTGACTAATGAAGCAGAGCAATTACAAAAAAGAGGTTAAAAGTCACACCAGCAATGTCTCTATTGATGAGTTTCTCGATATTCTCTGGTTCCAATTCAAACTCTTCAATACACAATTTTCGCCAATTGGTAAATTCTGCATCAACATCTCCTTCCTCAGACATGGATTCTGCAGGAGTTGACTGAAAGAGTTATTTTATAGAATTATTATTCTATCAAAAGAAAAAAAAACAACCAAAAAACTATGTTAGAAAATATTTTAAATGTAGTAATAAAAGATTCTTCTTCACAAAATATTAAAACTGATAAAATTGTTTGGAGTTCTTTAAGAAGAAATAACATCAACCAAAATTGAAATAATAAAAAAAGATAACTCCCCAAAATAAATTTCAACATCAATTTTGAGAATCATTTAGCTTCTTTTTTTTTTTTTAATTTTTTTTTTTTAAATATAGCTCTTTTTATACCAATAAAAAGAAAAAAAATAATATTTAAAATCTGTATAAAACCTAGAACATGAACCAGAAATATATTTGATACTTGCAAATAGCTAGGGAAAATTGTACATTATGGTATTATGATATAACTTTGTTTTTAAGACTTAAACTTCTGTTTTCATACAAAACCATCACATTTTTAAAAACTTCAATGATCATTACATTTCTCACCCAAATAATTATTAGACAATGTTATAGGCATAAAAAAAAAGTTTTATAAAAAAAACGTTTTTGCTTTAATAAAGAAACTGTCTAAGGAAAAAATATACATAAATGCAAATTGAGGTGCAAAATATTGACAAATCATCATCAATAAATTATATAACAGCCTAATTTTCTTGAAGGCACAGTCAAAGTTTATCAAAATACAATGAGTAATTAAAGCTGTGCTGTATCAAGGTTTTGATAAAATTGCCCAGAAGCCAAATGTATTACCAGGAGTTAAAGACATCTGATTCTTTAGTTTTAGGGACATGAGCATTTCCTATGTTCTTTAAAAACAATTTGATCATTTCAAATCTCAAACAAAAGAGGTGGTCAGGGAGGTAGTGGTGGGATAGAGGGGGAGAATTGCAAGGAAAGATTATTAATGACTTGAAAACTCCAATTAACTAACATCTGATCTCTAGTTGTGAAGTGAAAAAGTTGAAATATTTTTCTTTTATTCAAACCACACTTAAACAACCCTAACACTAACAAAAAGAGAAACGCAGATATACTTACTTCATCCTTGGTAGCATCTCCTCCCTGTGTTATGGCCTGGTCAGATGGTTTTGGACTGTCATCATCAGATGGAGTAGCTGGACTCTTGCTATCATCTGTGAAGGTTTTACTACCAGCCTCAATGCTTTTCATTAATGGGGAACCTAAAATATGAAAAAGAAAAAAAAAAAAACATGCCACATTGTGCTTCATCAACAGCACTCCTTTGCTTGAAATGATGAAGATAATTACATTTATAAAACCTTTTCTACTGACACTGCAGTGAAAAATGTATTTTCAGAATTAAGAGAAAACCTCAAAAGCTCTAGCAACATCAATAGATTCACTTTAATATTTCTTCCTTAGAAAATTCAAGAACTCATTAGTTAACAAGTAAATATTAATTATCTTTTATATTCAAGATTAACATTTAAATTTAAACCCATTAAAAATAGCTTGTTTTAAATTTTATTTCTGGTTAGAACATTTGGGACATTGTGTAACATTTGACCTGGCATAAACCCAAGGTATTCTGATTTAATACTATTGCTATGCAGAATGTTTTATCGTTCTCTAACCTAATGATCTCTGAAAGGAGTCATTTCAACCTCAAAGGATAATATAAAAGTAATCTTAAATTAACATGTTTAATTGATTGATTATTTTTTTTTTTATGACTTAAGTCTGTGGGTAAATTTAAAGCCAAAACACGTTTCAAATTGTAAGAGGTTTTGTTTACAAAGCAGTCCTCTTTATCTAAATACTGACTGGGCCCAGCATGATATGTTTAAGAATTACAAAAGTTTAGGCTTTATGATAATGTACCATAGACCTTAAGTTGCATAATGGGCTTTTGCTATGCTAACCTGTTCAGCTTATTTGCAGGAAGCATGTTTGTTGCAGAGGCAGAATTGAGCTTCCATATTCTTCAGCTAATCAAAGATATTCATACAATTCAGAGCTGGCAGGATAATGAGCTGACAAAGCTTTGAATTGTTTTGCCAGATTAGTTTTAACATAATTTAATGAAATGATACAATATTTTAGAATACTGTTTTTAAATTCCATTATTGCCTGGAGCTAAGAGAAGAGTATATAGGAAAGAGAAAAAATTTTAAGTAAAAAATCCCCACTATTACAAATATTCTACTTGTTTAATTGATTAGTTCAAGTGGAAAGTTTAGCAAAGCCAGGCATAACATGGAGTAGAGGCTTAGTTTGGAAATCAAGATGGGATCATCAAGGAATTAAAATGACATATCAATACATGCAGATAAGAAAAAGCATGCAACTGAATCAAGAAGATGTTGACAAGTTGGAGCAACAGTATCAGTCAGTCAAAACAATAATTGAAAATATTTCCAGTTTTAGTTGTAAATAATTCTTGCTTTTAATTGCTCTATAAAGCCATGTCAGACAATCAGGACCTTGTTGCTCAAATTGAACAGCAGTGACAGAATATGGAAATTGGGATATGAATTTCAGCATCTTTCATTCGGTTCATTTAAAATATGTTTTTTTTTTCATGTGATATTACAATACATGTATGCAAAACCAAATGGGAGTCGAGACCACCCTACTAAATCATAATGTCAAACATAATTTAATCAAATAGTAAAAAAAAAAGAAATTGTGTCTAATCCCCAAGTTGTACAATATTTCTGGACATACCAGGTTAACAAATGAATAGAAGTTAAAACTCATGACACCACAATAATAAGTCAAAAATATTTCCTTGTTCACAAGCAAAAGAAGAAATTAAAAACCCGATCAAGTAAAATGAAATAATTAGGAAAAGAAATCAAAGTTTCATTTTAATGGAAAAAAAAAAGTAAACCAAATATTAGTACTTGAAGAATTTGAATCAAAGTGTAACTTGATAACATCACTGATAAATGAACCTTGAGACATTAACAAAGTTAAGATCAAATTATTTTTCACCATTCTTAGATAATTTATCTCCTACATTCAAAATTGTGAAAACATTCTGGAATAAATTAAAAACAAATTTTTTTTCCAGTGTGCTTCTTGCCAAAATAATAGAAACTACATATGCCCATAATTTTTTCACAAGACACAGGGTAGATTTCTAGATTAAGCATAAAACATTGTAACTCAAAATCTGTTTCTTAAAAACAATTTTCATAATTAGTGGCCAAACTTTTTTCAAAATGTTATTACACTAGAAAACAAGAAAAACTCAACTACTTCATTTAGAGAGAAAATATTTTTCTGATATTAAAAAAGTTTAACATCTGCTGCTGTTATCTGCAATCAGTATGATTTTTTTGTGCAAGAGTCAAATATAAAGAAAATTATACATGCATTCTTCCACTAAAAACAAGGACATTGCAGATTTTAATATATTGTGTGATATAAATTTGCATTGATGTGGACCCCAATTCAGACCAGGCAACTCAAGCAATATAAAACCTTTTAAATTCATCTTATTTGGTATTGAGAAATGGGCACCAATGACTCACAATATTTTCCCATGCAATATCACTCTTTCATTTACAATAAAACTTCTAATATAAATATTTAAATGGGTATGGGAAAAAGTATTAGATATTAACTGAAAAACTAAATAGACAAATCACAATTTTCTATATTTAAGGGAGTCGAACACCCAATAAACTTAAAATGTTAATTTGAGAAAATTACTGAATGGCTCAAATAGTTATTAGCCATAAATGCCAGAGAAAGATTTAAAAAAAAATATAAGTAAAGAAAGTGTTAATAAAAATAAACATAATAAACAGTTAAGAACCTAGTAAGTGCAATTTAACAAAAAAGAGGAAACAAAAGCCTGTTGCGTTGATCAGAGAACAAATACTTACCAAGTGGTAATAAAATAAAGAAAAAAAATCAAGCAACAAACAAATCAATGTTTAAAAAACATTAAGTCTAAAATTACAAGCATAAAAAAAGAAAGTTTGGAAATTAAAAATGTTATCTCTCATTACTTTGTTTACAACTAGCTCTTTTTTTCATAAAGAAAGAAAAAGTACTGTCCCATAAAAACAAAAACAGCAGAAAATACTAACAAAGTGTTAAGATTGAAAAGTATCAACAGAAAATATTTGTAAACTAGAATTTTTAAAAATGATGACTTAAAACTAAAAAAGGCATTACTTATTTGTAAATATTTGCTGTTCAGTTTGATGAGAACCAATTGCAGGCAGTGATTAAAGAAGAAACACATCAAGCCATGAGGGAATTGGCTCAGAAGATGGAAAGCTCTCAATATTACTGTCACTAGTCATCTTCACTCAATGGGTAAGGTCCAGAAATATAGTGCATGGGTGAGATGTACATAATGACTAATAGAAACAAACTCCAGCATGCCTCCATTACCACCAATTTACTCAATTGACACCAGGCTATACCCCTCCATTACCACCAATTTACTCAATTGACACCAGGCTATACCCCTCCATTACCACCAATTTACTCAATTGACACCAGGCTACACGCAGATACAAAGGAAGAGCTTGGTTGGTAAGTTCTTCCACACCAACCATATTCCCTTCATTTAGCCCCTACAGACTACCACCTATTTTGGTAGCTTTCTAACAATTTTCAACAATGATGTGGAGCTAAAAACATGGCTTGATGAATTTATTAAGTCAAAGCCTAGTGATTTCTATCATCAAAGCATTGAACAGTTAATGGATAGTTGGCAGGATCTCATAAACAATAAAGATGAATACATTGTTGAATGATTTACCAGAACTATTAATAAATAATAAGCATTATAAAAAAAACTAACAAATTTATGTAACAACCTAATATTTAAGATTTGTGTTGAAAACATTTTAAGTACAAGTTGAGATAATAAAAGTAACACTTTAGTTCTCTTGCTTAGGAATGGCTTATTAAAACAACCAAATTTCACCTTACATAGACAACTGTTAGATTTTATTATGCAGGTCAATGTTTTCACAATAAAATTGGTATTAATCAACTGATGATGGTAAAATGTTAATGATATACTTACATTTATATGGGCAAAATATATTTAGTGAATTTCAGCTTAAATCTATTCTTATTAAAAAATATATTTTGGAGAGCATATTTTTATGATGCAAAGTGTAATAAAATTTTCATTGAGAAATAAATCCAAAAAGATATAGAAACAGAATTGATTAATACAATATCTTATATACTTGAATAAATTATTATTTTATTGATTAATATAATCTCCTTCACATTTAGCTAACCATCATTAGTATTTTAGCCATTGATTTTATTATCTTTTTTTTTTTTTCTGGTTTCAACTTTTAACACTGGTTGCAATAGTTTTTTTTTTTTATTTTTTATTTTTTTTATTGCTTCCTAGAAATCTTTGCTTGAATGTTGTTTATCATTCTTATAATAATGGACCACAAGTTTTATATTGGATTAATATCTGAGGAGGCTGGAGATCAATCCATTAATTTGTTCCTTCTGAAACCTTTATTGGCAAGATGATTTTCATGCAGAATACAATCTTCAACTTAACACTTCTTAGTTGTGACTTCTACCACTCAGAAAATATCTTGTCTAAGAACTTACAATAAGTCTTTACATTTATCTTTAACTGTTATCAACTTTGAATGGACCAATCATTTTACTGCCTATAATACTAGCTCCAAACATTAATCCAGCTGCCTTTATAATTTTGCTAACCAATCCACTTTTTTGGCTTATTAACTTTCGTGACATTCTTAAACCAGCTTTTTTCTTTGTTTTATCTTGTCAATATTTTCAATTTCTTTTTTGTTTGTTCAATGATCTCTATTCAACTTTTCCCCCAATTTCCAATGTTATATTACAATAATTCAATAACTTTATAGCTTGTTTTTCTTTCTAGGCAGTTTTTATATATCTAAAATTAAAAGTAAATAACTATATTATCATTATTAGTATTATATATATTTACTTATAGTATGTTGAACAAATTTTGAGATGCATAATATAATTTCAAACTACTAAATAAGTCACTGTAAATATTTCTCATAAAAACATAAGTTGAAATTCACATGGTACACTTATAAGTATATTCTGAAAATATTACCAACAATGGTTGGTTAATAACAATTTTATCATGAAAAAATTGACCCTAAGAAGACATAAAGACATCCATAAATTGCTTCTGTTCTAAATGAATTTTCCAAGCATCAAGTAACACAAGAATTACAATTGGAGAAACAATATAGAATAACCTCTGTGTGTGTGTGTGGGTAAATTATGAAAACAAAATTACTGTTCCGAAATCCGATGCCAGTGACAGAGTTAGAAAATATTTTTCCACTCTTAGTTTTAAAATGAATAAAAGTAGTTTAATGTCTTTTCAAATAAGTAAAACATGTGCACCCAATAAAACCATTTCATAAAATAACTTTTGCCTTGACCTTCAGAAAACTTAATTACTAAATACAATAGAAATTTCAATCATTCACAATGAAACCATAAAACTGCAATGACAATATCCAAAGGCTTCTTTATTTATTTTTGTAATTATTTCACCCCAAATGAGAGAATAAAACCGTAAAGACACAAGGGGGTTACTCAGTGTGAAAGAATCCGAGAAAAAAACATTATGGAGAAATGTAAAAGAATGGGAATTAAGGAAACAGATGATGATTGACATTGTGTTGAAATTTTTGAAGGTCAAGTTAACTAGAAAGCAAGAATTTGGAAGAGAGTTTCACAAGTGAAAAGTACAAGAGAAGAAACTGTTAGTAAGAAAGTCGTGATAATAACAACAAAGATAAGGACATTAGTCTAAATCTAAATAATGATAACTTCTCATCCCAGAAATTCAGAGGTTTCTTTGAGAAATTTTACTCATCATTGTGTAGTAAGTAATTTCCAAATTTATGAAAAACTATATAAAATTAATGAACTTTTCAGTGAAGCTAAATTTCCTTCTAAAAGACGTAGTCTTATATGTCATACTTGAATCCCAATGATTTTTGGTTTTGTCTGCTGCAAGAAAACTTTTTGTGATGTCATCAATATTACTAAGAAGACTTTTGAGTTCTTTTTATACTGACAATTAATAAAGCTTCATACAATAGTTAATTTGATATAGGCACTGAATGTAAGGCAATGTCAATTGACTTTACAGAATGTAAGGCAAGACAATGGCTTAGAGGTGTGAATTTTGTGGCATACTAACTGTGAGTTCAGTGCTTGGGCCAAGTAGTATGAATTTATTCACTCAGTGGGAACTAGAATAACAATAACTGAGCAGCACTAAAAGTACAATTAAACAAAAATAAGATAATATATCTGTAGATATATTGACAGTAGAATGATAACTTAGCCATATAGATTGAATAAAAGGTTCAGTTTTAAATTCCCTGAAGGTCACCTAAAGAAGGCTAGAGGGCATAACAGTCAAAACATTGTGATGGTAACAACAAATATTAGTCAAACTATAAATAATATAAGCAATAATCGATAAAGGTTGAAATCAATGCTTAGTTATTCTTTATTGCTTGGCATAATAGCCTTTAGATTAGACATAATCTCTATGGTTAAAGGAGATGAGAATTAATTCTTAACAAAAAACACAAGCAGGGAACTATATATATTTCAAACCACTTATTGAACTTATAGTAAGCGAGAGCTTCAGCTTAACATGAAAGGAACATAGATTGAATAATGTGAAACCAGAAATGTAAAATATAAAGGCTTAGTTTAAAATCAAATCAAATTTAATTCAGATGCTACTATATTTCAAGATTAGAGTTTGTAACTTTTCAGTTTTAAATTAAGGATTAACTTTTAATTCTGAACACAAATTAATTTTGAAAAGTTTTAAGTTTATTCATTTTTAAAAACATTTTTACATCTTTTTCTCTATATTAGTTAATGTTAAAGGAAAATTTGCCTCATTATTTTAAGAAAAAAAAAAAAAATCTTCCTGTTGAAAAATAATTTTCACAAAAAAAAAAAAAAAAAAAAAAGTTGTCAAATCTCATTTGTGAATTCCAAAATCTTGATAAACAAAAACAAAGCAAACAAAAAAGCCCTTATCATAACCATAATCATAATCATCAATATCACATTAAGAAGTATATTAGTGTTTATTTTAATGGTTGGTTGGCTTCATTCTTTAATTCAAATGGAAATTATACATAGATAAATTTTGTTTCTCTTTTTGGTAGTAAGCTGAAATTTATTGCCAAAAAGAGAAGTCTACTAGCTGACTTTTTTTCCATGTATCTGTAGAGGTACAATGGAGCAGTTGAAACATCATACGAATGTTAACATCAATACTGAGATTTAATATAAAAAAAACAAAATTAAAAAATTATGGTATGATAATGACGTTTGTGTGGAAATTTATACATGTAATTTTTTTTCTTCCTGTATAGATCTTATATTTTGATCGGTGCTAAATGCTATCAAGTCGATTCACAGGCTATTTACAAAATGTGCAAATGTAGATAATTATGTTGCTTACAACAAAATATACTTGATTGTTTAAATTGCTATTTAATGAATTGCATGTACATCTTTTTAATACACAAATACATGTTTCAAAAATGTAGACAAAAATGATTACAAAATTGCTATTTAAAAAAGTAAATAAAAAATTATATAATGAATGTAAAATCATTTACTACAACTGAGGATGAAACTCCTGAAAGATTCTGTAATATTTCAAGTACATTATTACCGATCTAACTATAGTGAGAGAGAGAAAGAGAGAGATATTATCCTTAAAGAGGCTTAGTGAGCACACTGGCAAAAACTTATAAAAGATATTTATTTGAATTTTTTAAGATGAAAAATAATAAAACTGAAGAAATGAAAGAGTGTATCACAAAATAAATAAAAAAAAACTGTATTAACAAATAACTTGATAGAGAATGCCAAGAAGGGCACAAACCAAACCAGCCTGCCAAATGGCAGTTAATCTTGTACATGTAACACAAGCCAAGAAGGGGCAGCAGCAGCAGCAGCAGTCACTCTTGTAGAACTAAATAGAAGGGAAAGAAAAAAAAAAAAAAAAAAAAAAAAAAAAAAAAAAAAAAATCTTTCTTCAACATCTAACCCTGCTGTCAAACCATAATTTTGGCGTGATCAAGATGTCTGGCTTGTGAGATGGTAAAGATGATGTTTTGAGAAGGCATGGATGAATATGGGCTGTCTGTCCGCAAGGATCCGAGAACAGAAGTCTGTCTCACTGCATACTGTTGCCAGGTGTATAGGGCGACGTTCAATATGGCATGGAATAGTACAATGGCGAAAAGTTGTTAACAGGAATAAGAACCTCACCCACTGTCAGCGTGCTCTGGGGGTATGATGCAGGCCCACATCTCCTGTAAACTAAGCAGTGAACGGCCAGTGTTAGGGTAATGATGCTAGTAGCAATAAAGGTGAGGTGCCACATGCAAACACAAACAACACACAGAAAAAGGGATTTTTTTTTTTTTTTTTCTTAAATTTTAAAATTTATATGTGGATTATAAAGGCATAGCAAAAATGATAACAGCACCATAACAAGGTAGGGTACATTAACAAGTCAGTTCAAGTAAAAATTGGTATACATTTAAAGAAAGGTGAACATGAAAAAGAAGGTCTAAGCCAACAAATACAATGAAGAAATTATTCAACAGTGGAAATTTTTTTTTAAATTCATATTGAGCTGCCTTTTAAGGAAACACACACACATACACACGCATACACACACACAAGACTACTAATTTAGAAAAAGTTATATAGACATATTTTTCAATATATTTAGGAGTGGACGACACTGAAAACCATTAACAACCTGGGAATGAGCATCCACAGATAAAAGTGTAGGAGGAGAATTCATGTATGTGTTGGTGTCTTCTATGAAAGAGAGTAGATTCATTTTATTCGTGGTCAAGTTAGATTTGATAAAACACTAAGAACAATGGAAATCATACAATCAAATCTATATAGAAATAAAACATACATCTGTTAATGTCAACTCAGTTTTTGTTACCTATATGTACTGAAAGATTACTTAAATTTGTGTCTCATGAGACAGCTGAAGTATGGCAGACAAAAAAAATAAAAAAATAAAAAAAAATGTCAAAACCTGATATTACTCACAATGACAAAAGCACATTCCCAACATTAAAATACTATGATACATAACACTCTAGTTACTCCTTAATGTAGCCATGTAATTTCTTAAATAGTTTTTGATCACATTCATAGTTTTCTAATACAACAAAATCAAAGTGGAAAGTAAAAGTTAAAACAGTCTCAAAGGCTCTAAAGAAACAAGAATTGCAATCTTAACAGTTTCCAAAATGTTAAGTAGATTTCTTCCAATATTCAAAGACTACCTCAAAGGAAGGTAATAAATAAAAAAAAAAAAAAATAAAATCAACTTTATGTTAGATATTTATTTCTGATAGTATTGGAAATAAAGTCATTTTCTATCATGATAAACTCTAAAAAATAACTCATATATAATGAAAAATGCTGAAGGATAAATTTTAACCTTTTACCAAATTATTTTTTCTACTATTCAACATTTCATTTTGTGGTATATATTTTTGTTTTATAAATGAAAAGTATATAATATAGGAATTATCAAAACATTTTTGTTTTCTTTTTGCTTAAAAACATACACACTCTGGATTAAAATTCAATAATTCATATACCATAAATATATATTTTTTATGCAACCTATTGGGTTGACCAAAGTTAATTTGGTTTTTCTACTTAATAAGCTAACAAACTTTTGGGCCAACCTAATATATATATATATATATATATATATATATATATATATATATATATATACTAAAATATCTAAACTCCTAAAACTAAAATGTTATATAAAAACAAGTATATAATTATATTGTTAAAATTATAATGAACAAATACAGAAGATTTTTTTTTTTTTTTTTTTCATTTTATGATATAAATAAAACTTGCACAATTATCTCAGAAACAGCTAAAATTATAATGCTGGTTGTTTTTGATAATATCACAAAATTGACATGGATTTATTCTTACTCTAAAATATAAGATATCCAAATGTGTCTGAGTGATTTTATAAACACGCTAACTCAATGTTTTAAAAAAGAATAAAATATAAAAATGTCTAATTGGAATAAAAGTTTTTAAGATCATTTACACTCACACTATTTTTAAAAAGAATTACTTCCATTAAACAAACTATTACACATTATACATAAAATATTTAAAATTTAAACTGATTTGATTTAGCTACGTTCTGGAATATATTGGCAATAAATAGGATAAAATAGAAAATATTAAAAAGGTTCAAAATTATGAAAGACTTTAGTTGCTGATTTTGACAAGACATTAAATGATGCCATAAATTAATAATCACAAATCAAAGTTTTACAGTAGCTAGAAAAAATAAAAGATTGTTGTCATGTAAGTTGAAACTTCTTGAGAAATTTTTTTAATTCATTTTTAAATAAAAGTGCTCTATTTTTCCCAAAAGTTATGTTCACATCTAGGAAAATAAATTATTGAATGCTTATGAAATGTAACCAAAATTTGAGATTATATTTCTGACAAATCATCAACTATCAGAATAGGCCTGCACCTCTCATCAACTCTCACATTCAGCACCAGTGTTCCACAGGAATGTGTAATGTAATCCCTTTTCTGTATACCATCTCCACTTGTGATTGCATTACTATCCATCTAACCAAGATGATCATTAAGTTTAAGGACATTTCTACTGTGGTTGGACTCATTTCAGTGGGTGATGAAGCAGACTACAGAAGTGAAATAAAAAGATTTGGGGCTTAGATAATAACCTTACATTAAACACCTTGTAAGGTTATTCTCCAAGATTTTGTATTTAAAAATCTGATTTTCATTTAATTTCACCAAAACTGTTAATGTAATAATCACAGTAAATAAATGCAATTGATCAATACTTTATCATTTAGAATTCATTTCCTACATTTTCCCCCCAAAACAGTTACATCTATCTTATTTAAAATGTTAAAAAAAAAAAAGCAAAATAGAATGGTTAAAGAAAGAAAAAAAAAAGATTTGAAGCAATAATAATAAAAAAAAAATGTAAAATTCAGTAAGATTAAATATTCAGTAAAAGAAAACTATTAGAACAATGTTTACTGTATTGTACCAAAGACTATAATCCTATTCAAGGCCAATCTACTTGGTAGCAGCTTGAGACTAAATTCCAGATATTAAAAAAAAAAAAAAGTCCTTCATTTCAGAATTTTTTTTAGAAACGTGAGGCTTGCCATTTCCTAACATGAAAGATGCAAGATATTTTTTCCTCTGTATCACCCCCCCCAAACTATTTAATTAATCTTCAGATCATATATGCAAGGTAGTGTTTTGGAGCAATGGGCTAAAAAATGTGTTTTATGAGGTTTTAGTGAGAAACAATATTGCTGATATCTATATAAGATAATATTTAAAGTAATTTCAGACCAATATCTTTTTGATAATTAAAAATGTTATAAAAAGTGAAATTGTACAAGATGAACCTCGAAAGTAAAGATAACATGAAAATTGCTCTATTTCTTCTACTGAAGGTTCAGTTGTATTAGTTTGATTTAAAATCAGCATGCCTTTCCAATGTTTATGAAAGTTTTTCATTTAAACTCTAGATTTTAAAAATGCATTTTGAAAGGTTCTTGAAAATTCACATCTCAAATAACAAAGAGGGGAAAAATCCATGAAAGTCAGGGTTCTATAAATCAATGCTTTGTATCCACATCCCACTAATTAGTCCACCTTATAAGAAAGAAGTGTTAAATTAATTATAAAATCTACAGAGGATTCAGCTTGCAAACAGGAATATTGCACTAGATCCAAATAATATTTTACTATTAACCATCATTATAACAATATTGAAGATGATAAGCAAAGAAAGCTTCCTGATCACAGGCAACATTATTTTAAATCTATTTTAAAAATTGAAATATTTGAAAGAGTTTATTTTTAAATCATTTTTAATATTTGATTTGGAGCAATAAGTTTACACTTTTAATTGAAGAAAAAAATATCAAATTTATTTCAGGTAATACAAAGTTTTGCAGAGGAGATATTGCACTGAAACAATTTTAGAACATGCCAAAATTATGATTACTAAAACTCAAACTTTGACAAGTAGCTTAAAAGTATAAACCTACACTAGTTAAATTTCAACTTTTATCAAAATTTTCAAAACAATTCTGCCTAAAAATTCCTTAAGTAAAATGTATCTCTAAGTCAAATTAACAGTTGGCCTTTGAGCCAATTGTATCAACAAGCTGACATAATGACAAATCCAACAAAAGTGATTTTTAATACCAGCACATGATCAACAAGTTTGTAATCAGTCGGCATTTAGAAACTGGATAATAAAAAACCTTAGATAGCATGATTCTTTTATATATTTTTTGGAACTGCTGACCAAGATGGAAATAACATAATGATCTGCAAGAGTCATGCCAGAGAAGCTAACACATGCTCATTAAACTGGGTAAAAGACTGAGCATCAGGTGCCCTAGTCAATATAATAAGCACACAGTGAGGAATCATCCTTTTCACCATTGTATGGAGATGAAACATTTCCATGCAATAATAATAAAAATTTAGAGCCACACACACACACACATATATATATATATATATATATATATATATATATATATATATATATATATATGTGTGTGTGTGTGTTTCACATGTGGTATGATGATAGAAGCCCAGGAACTGAAATAATGGTGGAAAAGTTGTGTGCACAAAGACAAAAGATAAAGAAAAAAAAAAAATAACAACCAGGCAATTGAAGTAACATGATGGTAAAAATGACCAACTCACAAAGTACATTGCCTGGAAGGGTGTGTCAGCTGACTGGCAGGGAAATAAACAAATTTTAGTAATTATTAGTATTGTGAAGCACAACATTCAGTCAGAAAGGCATTGCCACTTAAGATTCTTCAAACAAGAGGTGAAAAATAATAAATTTCATTTCATTTACTCAAAGGAAGAGGGTTTTACTTTAACAAAATATCAACTGAATGCAACTCAAACTGAAAACAAAGAATTTTATGTAGCTCTTTCCTGCATGCACCTTTAGGTCATGAAAAACTATTTACCCTGAAAGTCATACTGAGTAATGACTATACTGAAATCAGAGTTTTAAGTTTCATATTGCAGAAAAGAGATTAACAATAGACAGTGCAATAATAGTATTACTACTACAAAACACACAAATTATCATATTTAGATAAGTAAATTGTAAGGCTTACTGCTCTCAAAGAAAGATACCAATAACACAATATGAAAAGTGCAAATGAAATGTTTACTGATCCTACATTAACTTATAAATCAGGCAAATG